AAATGAAAGCAACTGCTTAATTGTTGACAATAGCTTTTTCTTAGTTTTCACTTCTTTCCTATCTCGCGTACTGACCATATGTGACTAAGGCACAGTGACCTTCTGCAGTGAACGCTGGACGAAGTTTAGATTCCAGGAGGCTTCCTTGAACTTACATGCGAATTTTAATTGGCAGAGGAACGAAGCAGATGAATTTTATCGTGGTAAGACAATGACTGCTGTGATGGTACATTTTCTGAGTAGGCCTGGGTCTTCAGTCTGTTTTGTGTTGTTATAAAAGGTTACCACAGACTTGGTAAGTTAGAAACAACAGATTTTTATGTGGCTCACTGTATGGAGGCCACGAAGCCCAAGATTAAGAGGCCGCTTGTGGTGAGGGCCTCTTCTGCTGTCATACGTGGAAGGTGCCACATACCGGCAGGGGACACTTGGAAGACAGAAATTCACCTACATAACAGACTTCTTCTTGAGATAGCTTACTCCTGAGATGGTATTCATCCGCTTACACTGGCAGAGCCTTTATGATGTCATCTCTCTTCTCGTCCTACTTTTTACTTTGGGGATTAAATTCCCAACACATGGCCTTCAAGGAAGACATTCAAATGATTGACAGCTTCTGGCAAGATCATTGGTGCCCCAGGATCTGCAGTTGGGTCTGCGGTGGCACCAGAAATTAGTACTAATTTGGAAGACTTCAGCATGCTTGCCTCGCAACGTGAGTGTGATCTTCCATTTAGTGCTGCAGCTCTGGTGCTATTATCAGATTGCATTTTCATATGGAATTAAAAACAAAAATTTTATGCTATTTACATTTAATGAAATTTTAATAAGGCTGTGTTTTGATGTTATTATTCAAATAATGTATTCTGAATTGCTTTCTTTTGAATATATTTGCATTAAAGAGGAAATCAATTTGATTTAGTTCTTTGAAGAGTTTACCCACTTTCCCGGTAGCTTGAAATAGAAAAGAGAAAGTCAGTCTCTTTGGAAGGCAGTAAACAGAAGAAAGCATTTGGCTGAGATCTGTAGGAGTAATGGAAGCAGATTGCTGATAGTTCCAGTTAATGAAATGACTCATTTTAGGCTTTAGAATTATACAATTAAAATATATATACATAAGCCGCACACATCACAGATTGCAAAGGATGATACCTCTGTTTTCTTATTGAGCCCTGAGGGTGATATATTAAGAATTAAGAAATTGAAGGGATCCACATTATTGCAATTCTTGATCGTTGATGCTGAAAATTAAATGGTAATCTCCAGAGAGTGTATTTCTCTGGTTACAGCGTTACCTAACAGCATTTCTGTTAAAATTCAGTTTGCGGGCCCAAGGAGCCCTTGACCAGTGAGGCCCTTTCGTCATACGTGGAAGAAGCTGTTTTGGCAAATGTTTTGTGTGGCAGTTTTTCATACTTGCCTGGCTGATGAAGTTTCATGTAGAAAAATATAAATATGCAAACGGAACAAGGCCTGCTTTTGCGGCAGGGCCTGTTCGACTGACGCTAAGGGGTGGCTGGGTTTAATGGTCAGAAGATGGGCACTTGGGCGCGGGAAGCTACAAAACTCTGAACACCCCCCGCGGTCTTACCACCTTCATCTTTCTCCCTCAATTATTGAGTTCCTTCCATTTGGAAACATGCGTGATTTTAATTCTCCATACGGTGGGAAAAGCTTGCCTAAGTTACTGCCCAAAACTTAGCAGGACGCCTGTTCAGCGGGAGTTCGGTTCTTTTTATTTGTAATGCTCTGGCAAGAACACGCAACGTATTAAAAGTATTGCTCAAGTATTAAGTGATGGTGCCGCCTCCCAGCACTGCGAAGGCTGAGGCAGAAGGATCTCCCTGAGTTGAAGGCCAGCTTGGGCTACGTAACGAGTTCGGTACCAGCCTGAGCAACATAGTGAAAACCTGTATTTAAAAAAAAAAAAAAAAAAACCCTGGCCGCCGGTCCGGAGTCACGTGCGCGCGGCCTCCCTGCGCAGGCGCGGTGTGTAGCAGCTGCCCCTTCTCCCCCAGCGGCGCCGCGCAGGCGGCGCGCGCTTCCCAACGAACGCGCAGGCCCCGCCCACGCGACGCAGGCTCGGCGCGTCGTGCGGCACTGCGCAGGCGCGCGGGCGCCGTCGCGTCCTTCCGACCGTTAGCGCGGTTGTCTTCTCGGCCACTTCTGGCCGCCGCCGCGCTCCGGCCGGCCCGCGTCATGTCGCAGAGGCCGAGGGGGCGCGGCCGCCCCAGCTTCCAGGCGGAGCACCGCGATGAGGACCGCGGCGCGGACCCCGAGGCCCCCAGCACGTCCCGCGCGGCGGGCGGCGCGTCCCAAGGCGCTCGCAGGTCCCAGGCCGCCCCCGCCCCGGGGCCGCGGACGCAGAAGCAGCTGGAGCTGAAGGTGGCGGAGCTGGTGCAGTTCCTGCTGATCAAGGACCAGAAGAAGATCCCGATCAAGCGGCTGGACATCGTGAAGCACGTCATGGGGGACTACAGGGACATCTTCCCCGACCTGCTCAAGCTGGCCGCCGAGCGCCTGCAGTACGTGTTCGGGTACAAGCTGGTGGAGCTGGAGCCCAAGAGCAACACCTACATCCTGATCAACACGCTGGAGCCGGTGGAGGAGGACGCCGAGGTGCGCGGCGACCAGGGCACGCCCACCACGGGGCTGCTGATGATCGTGCTGGGGCTCATCTTCATGAAGGGCAACTCCGTCAAGGAGACCGAGGTCTGGGACTTCCTGCGGCGGCTGGGGGTGTACCCCACCAAGCGGCACCTGGTCTTCGGGGACCCCAAGAAGCTCATCACCGAGGACTTCGTGCGGCAGCGGTACCTGGAGTACCGGCGGATCCCGCACACGGACCCCGTGGACTACGAGCTGCAGTGGGGCCCGCGGACCAGCCTGGAAACCAGCAAGATGAAAGTTCTCAAGTTCGTGGCCAAAGTGCATAATCAGGACCCGAAGGACTGGCCGGCGCAGTACTGCGAGGCCCTGGCGGAGGAGGAGGGCAGGGCGCGGCCCGGGCCGAGCGCCGCGGCCCCGTCCTCGTGAAGGCGCGCGGATCGCGGGGCTGCGGGCTGCGGGCGGCGGGCAGCGGGGAGCGACCTGTGCCCTCTTACTGTGTGCGGCCCTAGGCCGAGGCGCGCAGTCTGGGGAGTCTTTCTGGTGGTGCGTTTCATTGCCTTTGGCATCAGAGGTTTTCTAGCTTTGTAAAACTAACTGGGAAACTGTACTGTGGTTGCCATTTGAGAAAGCACATGGGTACATTGTTTTGGTGCCAGGAGGTAAAAGCAGAGCTATTGTGTGGTCTGTTATTCCACGTTGTAAGGAAAAGCCTTCCTAAAATTAAAAGTGTGATTGCCTTTTATTACCCGACCACTTCTGCTTTATTTTTATATATTTCCTTCAGTTACAGTTGTTACGCGTGCTTCCAAGCATTACACAGAATGTATTTTCTCTGAGTAACAGATTTTGTCGATTCAGAGATATTGATCCTTTCTGTTGCTGACTCCTTGGTTCCCTTTGAGGTTTTTGTTTTTGCCACTCTAGTTATTATAATAAATACTGTATTTTTGTAGTTAACTGTTTCATGTTTTTTTGGATTCTGAAGCTGAAGGACATTTTAAGGCTCAAACCAGCATCCTAAAAAAAAAACAAAAAAAAGTTTTGCTAAATATTATTTAGGTAAATAGTTTTTGTAAAAGTTGCATTAAGTTGGGTCGTGATGTAAAATACATTTTTCATCGTGGGTCCCAAACAAAGTTTACAGCCAAGTGCTTAGGCCTGCCTACCTGGGGCAGGCTGTCTGGGTGTGCAGATCCTAGCTGTACACAGCGTGAGGTAGGTTCTTACATAGACGTTTATTAACCTACAAAATGGGCTACTAAAACCACTGCTAGGACTTTTGGGTAGCGGTTAAAAAAAAGTTCATAGAAAGTTCTTGAAGTTCCTAGTGTGGAGGGTTTTAGTTTCTACGTCCTTAAAATGTAAAAACAATCTCTCCTTGGTCTGGTGCTACTTTTTGCTTTTTCTGAATTATTCTTAGAAATTACTGAGTCAAAAGTTATAATCACGTTTTTCTAGCTTGCCTCTGATACGATTCTATGGAGAAGCATTGTGAAATACCAGTAGAGCTTCCAGAGCTCGGGAGGGTTAGGTCACCCTGAGCCCAGAGCCGCTCCCTTCAGTAGAGTGCAGCGGTGCGTGTTGTGCTCTTCTGACTGAACTGAAATTATGGCTCAGGCCAATTTGTCAGCAGGGTGATTTGGGGATAGGTTTTAAGGTCTCTAAGTCTCAATTTCTGTATCATTAAAACGAGGAAAAGTAATGACTATCAAAGCTTGTTACATGGGTTAAATGAACCAGAAGAATTCCTGGCCTCATTGAATTCCGTAACACTTACCACGGTGCTATTCTATGTGGAGATTCCATGCATATTTTATTTAGTGAAGAAGTACAGTATTGGGGGAAGGTGCTGCAAAATAACCACCATGAGGTCGATTATTTTGGCTGAAAAAAGTGATCGTCATTGTACCAAGTGTCATGTAGAAGAGTTAGCCTGTGGTGGGGCTGGAGGAACACGAGATTTAGGTTTTATTCTGTTGAATTGTTTTGTTTTTGGCGGGGGGGTGGGGTACTGGGAATTGAACTCACAACTGTGCTTGCTAGGCAGGCACTTACACCACTGAGCTATCTCTCTGGGCCATGAATTGGGTTTGTCATTTATTCATGGAGTGGAGTTGACCTCAGTCCTTGAGGTCATTTCTTCTTTTGCATTTTATCTCAGTGTATTAATTATCTCTGCATCTGACGCTGGCATCTCCTCCTGTGCTGCGTTGTCGTCCCTGGTGAAAGTTATCGTTGCCCAGCCCCACTGCCAGGTGTATCTGAAGCAAGTACCACCCAGGGTTCTTCCAGAGAGCAGAAGTTTTCACTGTTCAGTTACTGGGGCCTATTACTGACACCCCCAGATGAAAGGATAGGTTGATTTTGGCATGATTTCAGGGCAGTAGGCCCTAGGCTGGATCCAGGGCAGAGCCGTGTGAGGGAAGGGCCCGGTTTGGGCTGCCGTAGCTGCCCACCTCACTCCAGCGAGAGTGGAGTGGAAGGGGAGGGTCTGGGGCAGCAGGACCTCAGGTCATCCCCCAGCGGCCCATCTCGCGCCAGGCCCTGCCTCCTGACGACATACTGCACCGCTCCTGAACTCATCAGCGAAGAGTCTGCTGAGGAGAGCAGCGTCCCCATGGTCCCGTCACCTGCAACCGTGAAGATTTGGGGCGACATTTTATTCTAAAGTGTAACAGGAATGTTAGCAATTACCCATTCGTGACTTTCGGTGCACATTTTAAAATATAAAATATTAGAAACTAGATTGTGCCCTGAAATCACTTTTTCCTCAGCCTTCTGGAAGTACCAAGTCTTCAAGTGCCTCGCCACTGTGTGAGTGAGTTCATGATTGTGCTGTGTATGTGTGTGCACAAGCAACTTAGGCCTTTGCTTTTGAAGGCCTTACAATTTCTGTAAGTGGTGGTGGATCCTTTTACATCTTGTTTCCAATTAATCATTGCATTTGTGATTTAGCCACATAGGTACATATAGATGTGCTACTCATTTTATTCTTTTTTGGTGGAACTGGGGATTGAACTCAGGCCCTTGCGCTTACCAGGGAAGCTGAGCCGTCTCCCTGGCCCCTTATTCTTTCATAGGGATAAAAAAAAAGTTTTGTTTTTTTCTCTGTTTGGTACCAGGATCAAACTCAGGGCCTTGCACTTGCCAGGCAGGCGCTTATGCTGCTCAACTATGGCCCCATCCAAAAAAGTTCGTTCATCCTATCCCTAAGAGCCAGAGTCTTCTTTCAATTTTTTGCTATTTTCAGCCAGCGTACAGTGCTTCCTTGGGTACATGTGAGAGTTCTCTAGCCATGTCTCAGTTACTCTTCTCTTTTTGGGACAAGTACCTGACACTCAAAATTAGGGAAGGGAAGGTTTATTGGGCTCACAGTTGCTGGAGGTTTCAGTCCATACTTGGCTGGCTCCCAGGCAGACTGGCACATGGCAGAGGGCAGCAGCATGGTGGCGGAAGGCAGCAAAACAGCAAAAAAGGAGAAGTAGCAGCAACAAATGGCTACAGAGAGGAAATCTGTCTCTTAAATTGCATTGACTGTCTGCCCCAGGCTGCAAGTAGTATTCACACCCATAATCCCAGTGGATTATGAGTTAATCTCAAACTCTAGAAGTCCACCCCATGATTGTATGAGGCTTTGGGGGGACAACTGGACACAAACCATAACAAGCCAGAAACAAATATAGCAATCAGGAGCTATTGTCAATGACTCTTGGGCTTGTGTCACGTTACACATGGTTTGCTTCTTTTTGTTTTGTGTTTATTTTTTTGTTTTGACTTGTTTTTCTGTTTGGTACAGGGTCTCACTACACAGCTTGGACTCATAGTGATCCTCCTGTTTTCTGCCTCCCCAGTGCTGGAATTACAGGTGTGTGCCACAATGCCCGGTGACAGGAGCAGCTCAGCGCCTCCCGGGGGTGGGGCTGGTGTGGCATGTGGTGCTGGGGATCGAACCCCAGTCCCAGTGCTTGCCTAAGCACGAGCTTAATCCGTTGAGCTATCTCACTGACCCTGCATTTTTTTTTCTTTTTTAAATACTGAGATGTAACCTAGAAAGCATTGAAAAAAATCCCTTTTACTTTTTTAAGCTTTAATTTATTTATTTATTTTGAGACAAGGTCTTACCTTTTTGCCTAAGCTGGCCTTGACATCACGATCTTGTTGCCTCAGTCCCGTGAGTAGCTGGAATTGCAGACACGCGCCTGTCTGGCCCACCAAGCCATTTTTGTATGCAGGTTGATTTTTGCTTTTATACCTGTCAGCTCTGTCCTGAAACGCTTGTGACTACTTCAGCTTTTTATGATCTTTTCAGCCATTTTGCTAGTGATAAAAGTCTTGTGGTAGGAACTTGGGCCTCTTATTATTTGCTTATGTGTCTCCCTACCTTTCACTTTCCCTTTTGACAATAAGTTTTATATCTGTTAGACATTTTCTACTCTTACTGATTTGTAAAAGTTCTTTATATGTTGTGCATATATAGTATTGCTATATCCATTTGAAAATACTTTTTACAGTTTTACTTTTTGTCACAGTTGATTTGATCTTAATGTGTTATAACTGTCTATGTTTTTAAGAGCTATATTTTTTATCTCTTTAAAATATTTACTTATTTGGTATGGGGTCTCACTGTACAGCTTGGACTTCTAGTGATCCTCCTGTCTCAACCTCTGGGATTACAGGGGTGCAGCGCCATGCCTGGCTTCGGGGCCTACCCAGCATGCCCAGGGGTTTGGGGGCTGGCACAATATGCGGTACCAGGGATCAAACCCAGGTCCTTGTGCTTGCCAGGCAGGCACTTAGACAGGCGAGCTCCTGCCCCAGCTCTAAACTATTTAATTTTAATAAAGTATTAGCTAAGCATTTTGGACAAATATCTGAAAAAATTGTTACATTGAGTCAAATACTTTTCCTGTGTTTACTGAGATGATTATCTGGGTATTTCACGGTTTCATTTCATCTTGTTATACTACATCGATTTACCTGACTGGAACAGATCACCCTGGGTCGTGGTGCCCATCTTTTGTTTTCTTTGTATTATTAGTTTCTAGCTTATCTTCATCAGAGTAGCTGCTTTGTATAAAATATATTTTATCCCTAGAAAAACTTTTTCCTGAGGCATATATACATTTTTGGTAGTATCTATCTATCTATCTATCTATTCATAAGTGATACTGGTCTATGGTCTCTTTTTGTTTGTTCGTTTTTGAGGCCCGGGCTGGCCTTACACTCAGCTATGTGATGCAGGCAGGCCTGGAGCATTCAGTGATCCTGTGCCTCAACCTCCCAAGTGCTGGGATTACAGGGCTGTGCCCCCGTGACTGGCTCTTACAATATTCTAGCTGTAGTATCAAGGTAATGTTAGCCTCATAGGATGAGCTAGGAAGTGTTCCCTCCCTTCGAATTTTGGGAATTGAGTAAGATTGACACTAATACATTAAATGTTTGGGAGAATTCACCAGTGAACCCAGATCGGCCTAGACTTTGTTTGATTTTGGTTTCTGTTTAACCAGAACTTAGAAATATATTGAAAATTTGTGTTTCTGCTTGAGTCCCTTTTGTTCACTTGTGTTTCTGTCAAAGATAAAGCTGGAAACCAGTTAAAGTAGCAAGGACAGAACCAAGGAAGCTTGAATAGCTGTCCAGGAAGGGAGCAGGAAAGAGAGAGAGCAGGTGGAAGGGGTCTCCGAGAAGTAAAAAGTACAAAAAGCAGGGCCTGGCCCTCGTGAAACCAGCTGGCTGTGTTAG